TGTCCGCTTCCACAGAACAAACCAAATCAGAGAGTGGTTCACCACCAACAGTGACCACTTTTTAAACGTCTGTCTGCCACCCTACTCCCCTTTCCTGAACCCTATAGAGGAGTTCTTCTCATCGTGGAGATGGAAGGTTTATGACAGACAACCATACACAAGAGAGAACCTCCTAAGGGCAATGGAGCTGGCCTGTGTTGACATCCCAGCGGAGGCCTTCCAAGGATGGATTCGCCATTCCAGGGCGTTTTTTCCCGTGGTGCCTGGCAAGAGACAATATAGCCTGCGATTTGGATGAGGTGATGTGGCCCGATGCAGCTCAGCGACATGATGCCGCACAGTGATTGTGGTGTGTGTGTGTGGTGTGAATAACGTAAATAAAAAAACTTCACACCCTGATCATGTTTTCAAGAGTACTGTTGTGTGCAATAGATTCTGTTTTTGCATTGAGTTGTGTTACAGTAGTGTACGTACATGCAGGATTTTCTATAGATTTATACTCTTCATATGAAACTCACAAATCTAAATGCCTAATCCTCTGCAGAGATCTACGACGATCCGTTACTGTATAGTTTCTAAAAATATTCATTGGCAGTTATGAAACAAAGAACCTTCTCACAAATTGAGCATTGTGTTTTTAATTGTTTTGCTTACATTTTTGAAAGCTTCGAGCTGCTCTTTTGGTGTGAAAGTTTGAGTTTTGCAGAGGGAAGGTGTGGTTGTGTTTATGTAGCTTTAGAAAAGGGTGTTGTGTTTAGACATTGGGGAACATGGTGGAAACATTTGTGAAATGTGTTTTAGCATTTGAGAAAAACTGTAATAAGGGAGCAGCTAAAAGTAGCTACATCGTCTGCTTGTTATCTACAGATAACACGTCGTAGACAGAGGAATAAACAACAGAAAAGATGGATTATGGAGAAGCGACAAAAACAACTACAACAAATTCAGCTGCGAGAGGGTTAAAAATGGTTACCATGGAGTCACACTGGGTGTTTTTCTCAGAAATTATGTGAAGTTTGAAACTAGAGACATAAACACTCATGACCACATTAGTTATCAGCAGGGGGTGAGTCTAACAATGAAAAGAGAATCAGCTGCATTCCACAAAACCACAGTGATGTGAGTTTTCCATGTTGTCACTGCAAACACACACGCACGCACACACACACACGCACACGCTAATTTCCTAACAGGCCATGGTTAGGTCAGCGGAAGACATCAGTCCATGTTTCCTCTCTGGTGAGGGAGTAGCTTTCAGATTCATATCTGTGGAGATCCCGACAAAAGGAACTGCTTCATCTCATGAAAATTTTCCTACTTTTCCCACAGAGGTTTCTACTCTACTCACTCGTCAGCATTTCTGGCTTTTTGCCGCAAAGAATTTCACCTTTTGTTTCCTCTAAGAGGTGGATAAGAGTGTCACAAGTATGTCGCAAAACCCATCAGAACAAGTTTCACATGGAAAGATTAGGATATATCAGTCTGGCATTAAACCCATACGGTTTAGAAGACAATCATACTACTATGCTGTGAGTTCAAGCACAGTACATACTATTTAGAGTATAATATATACTATATACTATACTCTATGTAGTATACTTCAGGCCAACATGGTTCAAAAATGTTTCAGGCTTGCATATAAATAAACATATCTATTAAAAGCATCAATTAAAACATAGTTTCAAAATGTAAAATCCTTCCTCCCTTCTTTAGTATTAGCACACCCTCCCAACACTGCTCTATGCTGAGCAGCATGTCTTAATAATATCTGCAAACACAGGTGAAGAGTAATTACTGCTAGGTCTGCAGGTGCACCCTGAATCTCCATCCCCTGAGTAATACAGCACTAACATGTAATAGCACCTTGTTGCCGGTGTTATTGGTGGTTAGTTGGTCGCACTGTCGAAAAAAAAAAAAAAAAAAAAGCAACCCACCTTTTTTCTCTCCAGTGAAAGGCACTATATCGTCTCTGTCCTTATATTCCATGGCTTCCTTCTCCAGGTATTTGAGCAGACGTTCTCTGTCGAACGGTCCGCTAGCTGTCTTAGACGTCTGGTCTTTTTGACGTAAACCCGCTGGGAGAAGAGCATTCTGGGAACAAGACAAGGAGCCACATTAGAGCTTAAGACCTCAGTGCACTTATGCACCGTAATGAAGCCGCAGCACAACTCCTTGACCGGACTTTCATCAAATCCATTTAAGCAGGCTTTAAAAGCCTTTTCCACACATTGAAAAAGTTGGACAAACCAAGCTAAACAATACTTGGCACCATTTGTTAGAAAAAAAGAACAAAAAACATTTCTGCTAGTGTATCCTCTGCATCTTCCGGCCTCTGTGTTAGTTGCCAGAAGCAGGAGTTTGACAGTCACATGAGAAATTAAAACATGAAATACAAGTTGCTCAAAAAGGAAGTAAAATAATACTTTAAAACCAGTTGAACTTGATTAACCCAAAAATGCAGCTTGTGAATATTTTGTTGTGGGTGAATAAAAGAAAGAAAAAAAAAAAACTTGGCAGAGAGCAAACAAGGCCGTGTGTTAATCTATACACACAGCCACAAAACAAAATCAGTGCTTCGTTTTGCATCCACACCAAATGAGATTTCATCTCTTTACCGACATGAGACCCAGAAATGATTATTTTCCCATTGCTGCTGACTGTTTCCTGTGGGCCCCGTGTGGTCGCCATGTAGGCCGATTTGCCTCACTGAATGGAAATTAAAGAAAACGTCCAGGGGCTTGGAAGGGATTTCATTACGCTGTACAGCTCTTCTCACAAAGACTTGGCAGCCTGAGCCGCTGCAGCTTTAAATTATTTTCCAAACCATAGAGACTGGAGTGGGAGGTGACTGTCAGAGTACACGAGAAAAAAACCACCATTACATGTGAATTAGTGAGTTTAAAGGCATTCCAGGGGGGGAAATTTCCCAACCATTAACCTGTCACAACCAGGTCTACTTTGGCACTACAACCACAACAAGAGACGTAAAGTTGGAAAAACGATTAGTAATTTAACAAATCTAATGACCCACTTGTGTGTGCATAGTGTTTTTTTATTTTGAGATAAGCCAATAAATCCATTTCAATAAATCTCTTCTCTAAATGAACTTCCTCCCACTGAGGAGCCCTGGAGCTCCTCCAACCTGCATCGAGCCCTGACCTCAGGGTCCATCTCCTCAAGGGCCGTCTCCAGCTGTTTGAGCTCCTCTGCCGACAGTTTGTTGAGGATTTCATCTTCATCGAGATCCTTGTATTTATCCAGATCCTTCTTGTAGGACAACGCCATGGTACCAGCTATAGCTTGCTAAGCAACACCGAACACCAGACCGCAGCCACACTGCTCTTCTCAGGATTACTGCTCCAAACCAGGAAGATACTACCTGAAAACAAGCACACACACAAATAAATTAGTGATGAGCGCTGAATGGTGCATACATTTCATTTAATTACGCTGACTCACAAAAAGACAATTTTAATTGCATGTCGTTAACTGAGATAAAGATTGTTTATCTTATTGCTGTGAACCAACACTTGATCACAGCTGGGCTGGATAATAAGGCCTTGGGATGATGTAATGATGGGTGAACACACACCCAACACACACAGAGCTGGAACAAAGAACTTTCTCAGGCTTGGACAAAACATCTGACCAATCCCATAAGGATCAACTACAGCTCTTTGCAAATGGAAATTTTAAGAAAGTTTATAAAACACTATCAAGACAGAAGAAGAAATAAAGGAAGCTTTTTCTAAATAAAAATGAGGAAATGCATGTGTCTCTTTGCCTTTTGGGACTGAAAGGCTGAGCATAACATTGCAGTTAAGTTTAAATAAAGCTCAGATAACCGAAGGAGTTAGTGACTGAGTGTGTGTCCTTTCAAATAAAATCAAGAGGCAGTTTCCTCTCCCACGCCACAGTCCGAACACAGAGCGACCTCGTGATTTTCCAAACTCCCTGCAGGACCCCACAGATGCTACGTCTCCAAATAATTGGTGTACACTTTTGGAAACACACTTAAACTTGTATTCTTTCAAAACAACAGATTTTTGTCACAGTGAAAAGAAAAACAGTTGTGCCCCTCTTTTGCAAAAAAAAAAAACAACTGTGCATGTAAGTGTATATTTAGAATAGACATTCATTCATGGCTGCTCCAGTAGTGTAAAAGCAAATAAACCAAGGAACCTCATTGCAGTTGTTACCTATAGATTAGTGCCACATCCATTATTACATTCTGACCGGATTCTCAAGTTTGTAATAAGAATTTATGACTGTCACTTTCCAAAAATATTACAGCAAACTCCTGGTAACCAGAAAATTGTTTGCAGTTGTACTGACCAACAGTTGTACTGACCAACAGTCATCCTGATCTTGAATGCGCAACACACTCAACTGTACATGTCGCCCAGTGGGAGGCAACCTGCCTCCAGACAATCGCAGTCTGACTCAGACTGTAATCACTATCAGGCTGGTGAAGGTTTGCAAATAATTGCTCACGCAACCAATCTGAGTCAATCTGTGCCAGTGACACGACTCGTCTCTGATGCGTCTCTTTGCAATCGAAGACTCGACTCTCTGGTTGCTAACTGTTTGCACTCTGATTCTTTTCTTAAATAAACATAAGGCTACTGAGTTCCTTTGTGATTTTACTATTAAATTGCCACTCTGCAGTAACAATGTCACTACTTGTGGAGGAATTTCCGAATTTCTGCTTTCGAAGTTCTGGCTGGACTCTGAATGTCAGGACCAAATGTAAATTTGAATTATCAGCTAGCTGGCATTTAATTACAGACTGACAACAGACTGTCTCCATCTTATTGCCATTATTATTGCCATCTTGATGCACCAAAGTCACCCTGGGGACAGCTGACTGTGAGTGGTCTCAGACCGGGTCCCCTTCTTCAAAGTAACAATTTCAAAGGTAACACAGGATGTTTTCCAACCTCTGTTTTCCCTTGTGTAACTGAGCATTACAGAAAAAAGAACAAGTGCGTGCACATTCAAAGAAATAATTTAGTTGCCACAAAAAAATTTGTAATAAACATTGTGATTCAAATGTTGCTGCTTTTGTATGTTTTAAGGATCAAACTAACACTTGGAGCCAAATCATTTACAGACACTGCCACTTCTTTTGTTTTATAGCAATTTAGCCAAAAGTCAAGGCCACCAGAAATATTCATTTCATTTCTTTAACACAACAGATTTTGTTTTGTTTGAGAAAATTAAAGAATCTTCATTGAAATATTTTAAAATCTTTCATCTCCTCGTCACACTATTGATGAAGATTTAGTCAATGCAATGTGCTCCCCGTTGCTGTCTGGCTCGTTTCTCCAGTCAAGGGAATTCCCGAGAAGTCCAACAAGGCCGGTGTCTCTCACACCATTCAGTTCATTGTCTCAACAATCCAGGCTCTGTCCTCATCTAATTTTCCCCCCCATCTCCTCCATTACTGTGCTACAGCTACACACATTTATTTCTGAAATGACTGCAATAGTCATTGCACGGGCATTTACAAGTGCGAGTTCCAGCAGATGAAGCTCAAATGTCTTCAATGATGACTGGAAAATCTAAGCTTACAAATATAATCATCTACACTACACTGTTATCTTGTTCAATCCTATGCTAATCAATCCTATCACTGCTAACAGTAAGGTGGTGACGTCGTCATGCAAGTTTATAAATTTCATTTTTACAAATTAAACGCCTACGGAAGAAAATCCAAGAAGCTGCACGAGAGGAAAACAGCTCTGTTGTTGAACACAGTCAGCGCGCTAGACTGCAGCAGTAGTTTTACCTTTTAAATTTTATGTCACAGGACAGAAAAAAAAATCCCCATGCATCCAAATCATATGAAAATCACACTGCATGCTCCGAATACCACAACAGTCGCCTGGCCTGCGATCATGGAATGGCACTAGGATACGTTTCTCGTGACATCATCACAAGCTTTAGCTCGTTCTGGAGCAGGAGGGTTATTGTGCATTTTTTATGATCAACACTGAGTGTGGGGGAAACAGGCATTTCTGTGGCTGGGAGTATAACCTGATTTTATGGCTTTGCAGATGTCTTTCCTTTGACTTGTTCTGGAATTCTAACACTATTTATCCAGCTTTCTCTCACTTTCCACTTCACTGACAGATTATTGAACACATTAGAAAAAAGACAGACAGAAAATAAATGGAGCACGGAGACAGGGATAATGATAACAATAGGTTAGCTCAGGCCGAGCTGGAGACACTGGAAGGACCCATTAGTCCAATCTGACTGATTCCTTTCTCCTTCACCTCCTTGTCTGCTAATCCTTCAAGAGAACAACAGATGGCTCAAGGCCAACAACACTGCAAACCTGTCTGCATGCTACACTCGCCTGTCCACTCAGGCTACACACACACCCATATAAATATAACAATGTAAATTCACCTGGAGGTCTCCCCCCCTGCAGGAGACATCTGCAAAGTTAAACTAAAGTTTTATTCTTGAGAATCTGTATCACTTCAACCAAAGTTTCATGGGAACTACTCTGTGCTCCAATTTTACAGCAAGAATAGTGGCCCAATTCTTCAGGATATTAAGTAAGACAAATGGAGAGAGTGCAATGTAAAATATCTGGTTCTACCTTTAGCATTATCTCAGTTTCAGGCCAAAAGTGACAGCGTCTGATATCTAATTGCGTACCTGCTGTGATACGTTATTAGACACCACCCCAGATATGCCTAGAGTAAATGCTATAACCTGATGGGAGCTACAAGAAAACATTAAGTGCATCTCAGTCAAGCGTAATTCTTGCCACAATGGGTTTGATCTCAGCAGGCAGAAGCTGCACAAATAGTAATTTGCAGCCTAAAGATGAACAGGAAGCACTGACTGGTATTGCATTATTACAGAACACCACCCCAACTGCAGCACAAAAAGACTATAGTTAGAATGACCCAGCTATGCTACTCATGGGAAACAACTCTGTACTTCCACCTCCCACCTACTCTCCTCCAGTTTTACGCTCTGCTGTTCCTCTCTCCACCCTGCTGTTACTCACTGTGTGTGTGTGTGTGTGTGTGTGTTCGTGTTCAGTCTCTCCAGGTGCCTGAAAGTGTTTGAAATGATAGAAAACAGATGGAAAGAGACAGAGAGCAACAGAGGCTTGATCACGCTGATACTGAAATATGTTCATTACTATGCATATTAAAGTAAAAACAGTCATTGATATAGGAGTCAGGAGAAGGAGAAAAAGTGTTTGAAATATGATACTGCCAGGGTAATAGTTTCATTTTTATTTAATAGCTAAAAAGCTAAGTCATAAAAACAAAACAAAACTTTCCACTCACACAATGTTTCCTAACAGCTCCTTTACAAAGCTGACAAGGGTGAGACAGGAAGTGGGGTGGTACTCTAACAACCATACATGATTTGTGTATTCCCTCTGACCTGCCCGCACACTCCAGACACACCACATTATTATATAATGAGAACGGATTCAAGAAGTGGCCTAGCCTTCAGCTCACGGGGGCTAGAGTATGAATACATGCTCAAGAAAACCCATCACTTCTTTGTAAAAACTAAAGCCACCATGCACTACCATGGCTCAGAGCCAGGTTTCACCCTTCAGTGAAAGGTATGCAGGGTAAACAAAACCTATCTGAGAAGCCAGTTTATCTGCAATACTGCAGTGGTGGCAGTTCAAGAAAAAAAGAAAAGTCAATTCAGCAACCACCACAACATTATTATTTGGTTACAAAGCATGACTCTCAGATCCAGGAAGGAGGCCACCTGCCCTGGGGCTTAAAGGGAAAAAACCACAAGTACCCAAGCTGACGTCTTGGGCCACACCCTTCATTCACCACTGAGTCCTGCTTGGTGAAACTACCATTGTGAACACACCAATAAACCCTCACGCTAAATCTTGAGCAAAGAAGGTGTCAGAATACTTGCTATACAGGTAAAATGACTTTGCACTTTAATGACAAGAAGTACAAAGTCTTCCCTTAACCTCTAACAATGGTGTGAACCATCCCACCAAAGGTATGTCCTTTAAAAAAAAAAACACAAAAACAAACAAAAAAAACAACTCTTGTCTCGGTCAAATAGAGAAACAGGCACTATTCATACCGCGTTTCTAATTATTTGTCTGGCTAGCAGGGATGGGCAGCTCACATCATATTGGACCTACATTCTGCATAGCATTAGCAATGCTCATACATACAGAAGAGAGAAGACCCGGGTTAACCTGCAGTTAGACCACATACCACACAGCTAACATAATAAATATCAAATATGCTACTTTTGGTGAAAACTTAGCTGGTCTCATCTTCTGGAGACACAGCGGGCTACGGAACGGCGTTAGCTAACCCGTTCTTGACATGTTTATGATTACCACGCTGACAGCAGCCATAATGATTGTAATTATCACCGCCTAGCAAAATCCGCCACACTTCAGTTCAAGCCAGAACAAGCGGTTCATGGGGCACTTGCTCTGCTAACTTAGCTGCACGTATCGGACGGACACTACCATGGGAAACAGTCCGATGAAATGTAGAAGCTAACGCGCTAACCTTTGCAGTTCACTCAAGTTGCTAGCTGTTTAGCAGCCACAGTGAAAATACTACAAATGACAGCAGGCAAAGCTAATCGGTTGTTCATGATGAGTGATTTCCAACCTCAAACAGTCGTCTATTTCCTTACCTGAGGCTGATGGGACGTAGCTAGGGAATGTCCAAATACCACCAGTCTTCCCAACGCGATGTCTTCTGTGCTTGACTCCTCACTCAGGGTAAGGGCGGTAACACAGGAAAAGAGAACCGAACAGTATATGAGTGACGTCTGGTTGAACGAATAGAATGATAGTATCCCAAGCCTCAACCAATGGCACTAATAAACCCGCCCTTTCTCCTACAAGAGACCAATCATATGAAATATGGAGGAGGCAAACTGAAATAAAATAATAAATAGAGTAAAATAAAATAAAACAAAGTAACATAAAATTTCTCTATTTAAACAAAAATATATTTAAAAATGAAATAAAAAAGAGGTATTATTTTGACCAAATTTGGACAAGAATTGAAATGCACTGAGACGCTGAGATAAGCTTTGGATGATTGCCACTGCTAGTCATCATGATGATTAAATATGACGTCTTTACAATAACTGAGTAAACTCCACCATGTGTTGCAGACTTTAAGGGCATGTTCATTTAAGATGAAATTCTACTAGGCTGCATTTAGAATCATATTAGTATATTATACTTACTATTCTATATTTTATCATTTATTGTCACTGTTCCACTAATATTAGATTTTGATGCAAATCAAACTCTCTCCCTCTTTCTTTTATGCAAACACAGGCATTTGCACAAAGCTTACACTGTGTACCAGGGCTGGACTGGGACAAAAAAATCGGCCCGGGCATTTTGACTAGAGACCGGCCCACCAGGTATTATAGGAAAAGCCATAAAGCCTTTGAATGAAAAGAAACACTGTTGTGATGGTGATGTACACTGTTATGTTGGTATATATGTATGATTACATTTTACATCAGATGACCACTTTGGTAAGATTCAGATAATAAAGAATAAGAAAGAAAAGTATTTCTTTGTTTGTGCCCCCCTTTTCCCTGTTAATGCCCTACCTGCCCCCTGGCAAAACTTTGCTAGACCCGCCCCTGCACAGCTGTCAGCTATGTAAAAAATAATCCTGATGTTATTTGTCTCTCAAAAAACAGTTCATAACTTCTCTTCAACTCATTCATGTCACCTAAAAGGCAAATCTGTTTCTCCATCATCTGTTCAGCTCTGATGATTCAGTAAGGACATCTCCTGGTTTCATCATCTTCATGTTTCCCTCTCACCAGATATCCAAACCGATATCATGACCAGCAGCTTGTACGGCTGTGGCTCCAGCAAACATCAGCTGATACTAGAAAGTAATATTAAATAAATTCACAATAACAACAGCTTATCAAGCTTAAATGTGCTGCTGTTGTACAGCGGACACCAGCTGTTTTCCTCTGTCTTACGCAAAGTGGGCGATAACCAAACAAGAGAGACGGGACTTGCAACAGAAAAGCTGATCAGCTCATCATTGATCAGTTTCATGATTGAAGTAGCAACAGGAGAGGGAGGGGGAGAGGGGGAGAGAAGAAGAGACAGCTGTGCAAAGATACAGAATAACTCCAACTTTTTGCCTTTTTTCTCTAGCAGACGTACGGGACAAATCGCGTTCCTTTAAACCTCAAAACAGATACCTCAATACCATTTTCTTCTGTTTGTCTGTGATAAGATTGCTTTCAGAGCCGTTGCTCAAGCAAGGGGGAGGGTGCTTCCGACCTCCTCGGCTGTAACTGGTTCTGCCCAGAGTCGATCATGACCAACTGGCCAATCCCCCACCTTTCATTGCTTATACCGTTACAAAAAACAAACAAACGAACAAACATGGGCTCATAAAAACGAAAAATCACCATTCAGTCCAGCTGTGACTGAGAGGATAATTAAAACTGATAAACTGGATTTAAAAGGAGGGAGCGAGGGACACTTAGCAGCATATCAGTCAGTGTAAAAACAGGCCATAAGATTCAGGAACAGGGGGGTAATTTGCTTGTGATCATTTTTGATCTGACTCAGTGGTGCTGGCTTAACTTCATCTTTCCTTTACATGCAGGTCACTGATTTAGAATAGAATAGAATAGAATAGAATAGAATAGAATAGAATAGAATAGAATAGAACATGCTCAAAACTGTGGTTTTTTTGTCTGATTGTCTGGGCATCATAGCGGAGGCAAGTGATGTCCAGATAAACTACATCTAAGGACCCAAAGGAAGGAGGCAGCAGCAGGTCTCTCTCTTAAGCATGTATTTTCACTGAATGGTCTTTTCAGTCTGCCAGTGTGTCGTGCACTTTTCAAGATTAAAGACCTTAGAAAAGAAAAAAAAAAGTTGCCGGCTCCAGCTCCTTCATATCAATATTATTTTCAGACATTTTCCCCATGACTCCACCAATCAGCTCATCTGAATCTGGAGTTTACCTGCATACATCCCATTCACTCTGTCAGTTTTTTCGCACTTACTGCTGTTGAGGAAAAACTACACTAAAAGCCATACCTTGCTCAATTGTTTGTACCTTCTTGGCTCACATAAAACTGTACACGCAGTTTTATAAGATGCCATGTCCGTAACACAAAAACTTCAGCAAAAGATGAGGGTGCTGAGACATGCCTCGGTTCCCTATTTCCTAAAGCTGTTAAGATAAACAGCTCAAGAATTTGAGCTGCACTGAGGCGCAGAGAGGAACATGACTTTTAATGCAATCAGTTTTTCATCATTCATCAACACATTGCCTGAGAGAGGGTTAACTGGTGTCAGAGCACTTGGCTGTCGTTATGATTTGCTCCAGTGGTGTCAGACATGAGCGCCTTCCTCTAAAAAACAAAACAATGCAGGGTGGAGCAGGTTTCACGTGGATTTTTGCACAGATGTTATCTGAGAGGAAAATAAGCCTCACTGCTTTAGCATCTGGTAATAAACAAAGGTTAATAAAGGCTTACAGATGCTGTCAGGTGGCTCCCAGCACTGACACTGACACAATTCAACCAGTATAGCCAGAAGAAAAACGAAAGACAAACCAGCTGGTAAAATGCACATTCAAACTTAAGCCATAAACACCACTGTAATATTCCTACCGGTGT